GCCCGCCTCGCCCCGGCCGGGGCACCCCGCGCTCCTACCTGATCATGACCCCGCGCCGGTCCCCGCTGGGCCACCCCGGCGTCTCCCGCTGAAGGGACCGGCTCCTTTCCGACCTCCGCCGCTCCCCGCCTTCTCCGCCCGCTCGCCGCCGAGGCTGCCGCCTCTCCCCGGAGCCCCGCCGGAGTGATGGGCTGCATCGGATCSCGCACCGTGGGTAAGGCGTTGGCGGGGACGGCGCCAGAGGATGCTCGGGGGGCCGAGGCCCCCGCCCGGGTAGCGGCACGGCAGCGCCCGGCTCGGCGGGTGGCGGGTCGCCCCTCAGCCCCCCTCCCGGCCGCCCGTGCAGCGCCATTAGCTGCGTGCGACCCTTCCCCACCTCGTTCTCCCGCGGCGTGGCGGGGCTCCGCCGAGCCGCTGGCCTAGGTGCTGGCAGCGGGGCGGCGGGACGTGCCCGGGGCCGGGGGTCGTCTGCCCGTGTCACCCGTGACGAAAGGTCGCGGAACATGTGGGTCAGTGCGGCGCCTCCGGAGAAGGGGGTGGGTGCGGGGCGTGCCGTGCCGTGCCTCCCGAAGCGGGATCAGGCGGCCGCCGGCTGCCTGCTTTGCTCGGTAAGGGTTTATTGTTATCCGAGGATACATAACGTTGCATGAACAGCACGTCTTCTTCTCTCCCCCTTCCCCCTACGTAGACTTCAAGGGAGAGCAAACAAAACTGAATCCGTTCCCTCTCGCGGTGCCATTGCGAGGGGACACGGGGAGGGATCGCATCCTTCCACTTGGCTACGCCATGTACATTTTTAACCAAAGGATCCCGAGCCTTTAGGCTATGTAACCYGGCTCTCCCCTCCTGCATACATGCAGATACAAAGAGGTCCCTTGATCTTTAACCACAGCTATCTACAGGTAAACACAGCATTCTGAGCACACTTTCTTCCCTTCAGGAAATTTTTGTTCTGTGCAAAGCACAGGTACAGCCCTCAGTTACGTGGGGATGTAGCATTCAATATGCCAAAAGAATCTCCGAGAGCAAAACAGAGTTCGTTTCGCAGTAGGTCTCTCTCAAGCTGGTCCACAGRGCACACGGGAGCCGTGATATCTGGGGGAAAAAGACACCTCTGYGCACATCAGGTCCCAGTCCGAGGGACTGGGTCACCCCAGAATAAATCTGAGGGACGGTGTCAAAGCCTGGTGCTATGACACTTCTAGTCTCAGTGGGAGAACCCTTGTGAGCACTTGCAGGGAGCCATGTACTCTTGCAGCAGCAAACTTTAAACTCCAGAATCCAGTTTCTACTTTGGGAATTAATTCCCGCATCTAGCCTATGTCTCTTAGCAGTCTCCAATGTCCTCATGACCTAGAGAAATCTCTTGCGTCTTCTGTAATGTCCACATGGCAAAGATCACTGCAATATTTCCCTTGAGATTCTTCAAGCTCACCTGGATTACTGTCTCTACAGCATACCAGGACATGGATTGCCTCCATCTCCTGCCTTGCCCCTATTCCCCACACACCCACACTGCTGAGGACATTATCATCCTGTTAGCTGGGTAATTATCGATACGCCTTTTATCGATGTGTGTCTGAACTGGCAGCGTTAATTCTTGGTCTCTCCTCCACAACACTGTTGAAATAAAGAACAAACATACATTTAGTGACATCTACTCTCCACTCCAAAATGTGGTTAAGCTGTCGTGCAAACTACAGGTGTTTGTTCCTGTGCATGGCAGTGATTTTATGATCTGTGACTTGGAATCTGTGTTACAAAAAAAACCCTTGCATAACAGAGTTGTTTTAAGTGTCGTTCTCATATGAGGTTATAAATATGTTTGTATATATATTTATAAATGTTATACAGTTATGTGGGCATAGATATAAACATAAAATAGCATCTATACATTAAAATGTTAATAGGATAATTAGTGGGAAATTCACTTTGTCTGCAAATTGCAGTCCTTTAAAACAAACCTTAATGGTACAGATGTTCAGCTTCTCACGTGATAGTGATTTTTGGTTGATGTGATACTTGTTCATTCTTGATGGTGATAGCACAKTGGACTTTGCAGATATGTTTATACAGTTAACTGAGCAATTTTTCTTGGCCTTGTGTTGTGAAGGCGTGTGCTAAGGGGGATTGCACATCTATGATTCCCGTCTCTGTGGGAGTCAGATCTGAATGTAGTAATAGTGCCTGATGCCTGCTTCGTGCGAAATTTTACACTGTTTTGCTTTAGAAGAGGCTGGTTCTGTTCACAGTCCTAGAGGCTGGATTTGGTCAAGGTGGAGTCCTTGAGTTTCATTTGGACTCCTGCACCTGAGGAATTTTGTTCAGAACAATTCTTACTTGGCAGCCTAGATTTTTCTCTCTGGTCATGCTGGAGTTACTGAGGGGATTCTTCAGGCATATTTTTGGAAGTCAGTGCTTTGAAGTACGTGGTGTGAGCTCTAGGATGTGGCTGGAAATTGACGTCCTAGTATAAGTAGAGCTTTGTGTTCTCTCTTCCAAGTGTATCTGGTTAGATTTTTGCAGAATTAGTTCAGCGTGCAGGCTCTGTATTGCCTTTACAAGACCAGTGCTATGCTTGGAATTTGCATGGAGCAGATTTTGAACTCAGAATTCAAGAGGTTTTAATTAGTGATAGAAAGCTCATAATCAGTCACATTTAGTTTATTCACCAGACAAGGGCCAGTGCAGGATTGTGCCCTGAGCTTGCTCCGGGCCTTTTTCCATTCCAATTTTAAGCTAGCCACATGATTTCTTCATCTCCCGCAGGGATGTTTTACTATGATCTAGTTAGCTGTCATAGTTTGCACATGTTTAGTGATGTGCAACTTTACATTTCTTTCCTAAATACGAGTTTTCTGATTATTTCTCCCTGGGGAAAAGTAATTGAGAGGGTCATAACAGAGCAGCTCCATATGTGATAATTTGAAATAGAGTCATACAGCATCTTTCAATTTTATGGAGRACACCAGAATGGCAATTATGATTTCCTAAGATAGGAAAAAAGCTGAAAAGTGATCTTAAAAGGCTAACCTAATATCCAATTACCTTCTCCACAGTCACATCTCAGTGTCATACATGTGCTTTGTGTAACATGGCATGATGGCAATTACACAGTGAGAATTGGAGGTGGCTTCTTCCTCTGATAATGGCTACAAGTCAGGTCTGTGTATTGGTCATACCCCTTGACGGTTCCTAGAGAGCTGCCTAGCAACTCTCATCATGCCTGGGTCTCAGTTTCAGGGAATGTGCAGAAAATTTTCACTGAGATTCACTGGACAGTTAAGGCTGTGGAATCCAGCTAGGAACTTGTAGATACCTCAGTACCAACCAACTAAATGCCCAAGATSTGCTTGATGTTATCAGTGACTGAGTTAGCTAAATTTAGGGTTTCAGGTCTGCATAGGTGTATGAATGCACTACAAGTGTACCTTTGACTACAGCTTAGACATCTTCCAACACTGGCTATTCTGATTAGTGTGGCAAGGTTTCTCTTARTTCCTTGAATAGATTTAAATTAATGGAAAGCTCAAGCCTGTTAAGCTCAAGATTGCACTCTCCTTTTTTGCAGTGATTTCTCTGATTTCTCTCAAATCTTTGCCCAGAAGCCTGCAGCAAACGTATTTTGTGATGTGATGTAAAATGGTGGGAAAATACTCCATGACATTAAAAACTAATAGTACTTTTGGAGTGTGGGTGAARAGAAACTAGAATTGCTCACTCTGGGTGTCAGGGAAAGCTTTTTGCCTGTGAGACGTGTCAAGCATTGTAAGGGGGTTTCCCAGAAAGGTGGTTCAGTATCCGYTCTTTGAGGTTTTGAAGACCAGACTGAATAAAGCCCGGAGTAATCTGATCTAACCTCATAGGTGACTCTACTTTGAACTGGAGTTTGTGCCTCAGGAGGCACCTTCCAACCCAATTATCCTGTGATCCTATGCTTAGTCTCTAAAGCCTGGAGTGGTTTCCTTTCTGAGTCAGGTTGCTTTAGTTTTGCTCTGCCAGAGGATCCCAGGTTCTCTACATGCCATTAGTACACTCCCGTGTGTTGCACCCATCACCACTTTTATTGAACTAACGTTGAGTGCCATGTGTCCCAGAATTCTTCACCATGATAACCCTAGCTGTCATCTGAAGTCCTCTCCATGTGTTTTTGGTCTGGCAATTTTTCAAGAAGCAGCCCAAGTGACAGCTACGATCATGCACCGAGTATCAGTCACTGATTGTGCAGACTGGAAGAGGCAGTGCTCTTCGTTTTTCAATCACTGGGTCAAATCTGATCTGCCAAAGCCAGGTGCTGGTCTTGCTGGACTCCAGCAGGAATGATCAGCATCCTGTCAGAGGCAGGAGTATGTGCTCCTTGCGTTGCTTTCCCACTGGATGCTCTGTGCTAAATGTAAATGAGTGGTTCTTTGCCTCCACAGCAGGAGAGATGGAACTGAGGACCACCCACTCCTAATCCCTCCACTTCAGATTCAGYAGTGGGAGCAGGGTGGGAGGCTGACAGGAGAGGGGTAAAGCAGCTGGAGCAAGCAGTGATCCCCCCACGTGTCTGTAGGTGTGTGCAGTGAGATCRGGAATGGCAAGTGAGGTCGGCATACTTGGGGTGTGAAAAAGTGAGACATCCACTCTGCATTCATACCTCACACTTACCAGGGTGCCCAGTTCCTCCCTCCTTCACCTTCAACATCTTAAGTGTGAGTTCCTGCCTCCTTCACCTTCAACATCTGAGTGAGTCAGTGAAGAGAAATAGAGAGAGGGAGAAGCCTCAGAAAGGAAATGGAAATGCAGAGGGAAACTGAGTCATGAAAGTCAGGATATTTTCATTTAGTTGCATGCACACAGGTGGAAGGGAAGGAGCACAGAGCTCTGTGTAGAAACTGCCACTTTGTAGGTGATGTAAATAAAAGAGTGGGAACACGTGAAGAGGGGCATTTAGGTATCTTGTTCATAAGGAAACAGTTCTAAAAAAATGTGTGTAAGGTGGGTGTCAGCAACAGTCATTAGGAACAGAAAACAATTGCTGATTGACCTAAGACTTTGTGTGTGTGTGTGTGTGTGTACAGTGCAACACAGATGTGATTTGAGGAACACAACTGAGGAAGAGCACACTGACTKTGTGAACTCTTATGGACAGTAATGTGAAAGAATTATGAGAGAAATTACAAAAATTGAGCTGATAAAAGAATGGAAGTAATGAATTCATCATCATGATAG